GGTCGGGATGGACCCACATGATCTCCCCTTTTAGGATAGTGAGGGGTACCAACCCCCTGTTCTTCTGGCTGTGTAAGTTAGTATTTTTCATGTATATTTCCCCTTTATGGATGGGGACAACACCATCTGTGGCTGCTACTGGAGGAAAATCACCAAACTTGACCGGTATCAAATTGGTGGATATAGTCTTCTGCTCGGGCTTCAGTGTGAGCACGTTAGCATTCACCCGATTTTGTAAAATATCTTTAAAGACATTGAATTTTCTGGTAGGATGTCCTAAAAACCTATGATAACGATAGTAATTGGGGTCATCCACCTTTCCTGCTTTATCTGATTTTCTAATCTCTAGAAGCTCCAATTTGCTGTTCTTCCGAAGTAACTGGAACAAGGTGTCCACATGCTCTTCTTTGAACTAGTACTGCTTGGGCGCTCTTGGTTGGTTGGGTGCTTTGCCTTGCTTTGCAGGTGCTGTACGCATGTTGGCATCAACGACCAAAGTCTCCTTTCCCTTGGAGCATGGAGCATTGTTCTGATTACATTGTTGTTGGCTTGGGTTGAGTAGCTTCTTCAACCTTGACCCGGACAACGATTTCTTTAGCTTGTTCTCCTTACGAAACTAGTTGTCTCCAGCAGCTATATTCCGCTATCCCCATTTGAGCGAGGAGATGGGTCTGCAAGTTATGCCTGCAAGTTTCGACCAAAGTCGATTGGGTCATACCTGATGGGCATCGTAATGTCATGCTGCAGAATCTCTCAACATAAGTTTTGATGGACTCTCCCTTCCTCTGCTTGGTGGTAAGGAGATTCGGGACCGAGACTTCTGTATTATCTTCAAAGAACCTGGCCAAAAAAAGCTTTTCTAGATCTACCCATTTTTGAATAGATCCAGCAGGCAGCTTCATGAACCACTCGAAAGCAACACCCTTAAGGGTGCCAATAAAAAAACGGGTCAGAATGGCATCGTTTGCTACCACATCTCCTGCCTGAGACTTGAAATAGAAGATGTGTTGGTTTGGTGATCCTGTGCAATCGAAGAGCTGCAAGGTTGGGGTTAAATTTTGACGGATAAGGAGATGTGTCTCATTCAGCAAGATAAGGACGTACCACTCCTTCCTCGCGAAGTTCGCTCCTGTTAGCGATTGCGTTGAGGTGAGCCTCTAGTTCATCGATCTTAGATGACTGAGGATTCAGTTCTCTTTCCATCTCCTTCTCGTTTTCAGAAGAGGATTCTATGTTCTGAGCCTCACGATCTGAATTCTCAGGTGCTTTTTGCTTTCCCTTTGAAATTATTCTCCGAGAAGACTCATGCCTTTGGCCTTTTTCTGCAAGAAGCTGGGCCAACATGTCCTTCATCTGAAGAAGTGTCTCTTGCTGCGCTTAGAACATAACATGATATTCATCGACTCTTTTTTCTAAGTCGTCAAGACCTCCAGTCATGTACACGGGAGCCTCTCGTACCATGACAGAGCTTGAGGATTGAGATTCAACAATTGCTGAATGTTCATCATCGGAAGTCATCCCCTTGGCTAACTTGTGATAGTTAACTGAGCGGATAGCTCCTGTTCGGGTTCGGGCGTGGCGATATATCCCTTTAAACTCGTCACAAATTTCCTGGACAGTCGAAGAATGACTTCTTTCTGATTCATCCGAACTATGAGCTGAGGTCTTTCCTCTGCCTATCATGTTAATAGTGACTTCGAGATATTCGGCTTTAGAAATATTCTTCTTATGATGATGTTGTCGCTTGGCAGTCCTGGCGACATTTGTCAATCTGTCGAACACAGATTGTCGAGGTTCAGGTGCATAGCAGTGACATTCTAAATGGACTGCAGAAATAAGCCGCTCATATTGGCATGAATGAGCTGTTGTTGCGCCGGTTTCCCTCTAGAGAGTAATACCCGGAAATCAGAAACTTGGGAGGAATCCTTCACCAAGCATAAGGACGGGAATGGAACCCCCTGCCCTTGAGTAGGTGAGACAGGTTCTTGTCGGACATAAATTTTAAACCCATGTTGACCCCCTTGAACTTGGTGGACCACATCGCATTCTGGAGAAGAAACGCGAGGGTCGCGTTGTGATTTACAAACCCTAGGCCAAAATCTGCGTTTGGTTAATGGAACATACCCTTGAGGGTCCTGTTTTAGGTGAACCATGTGTCAATGAGGCTCGTGTTTAAGTTATATCACACGAGGCTCATAATGGGGATCGTTACCAAGAAGTATACGTTCAGGTGGAGGTTCAAGAATGCGTCCTTTACGTTGGTTTAGATTCCGACTATCTCATAGACGAGCTCGTCATATGGATCTTCTCCTTCTTCGAGATGCATTCTTCTTGGCTTGTTTCAACACCTTGGCAGCAATGTCGTTGGCGTTGACTGGACCTACCTCCATCATTGGCCTTTTCATGACTCATCGTGTTGGCGCGGGTGTCGAATCTTTAACTCGTTGAACGAGTTCGGCCGAGGTAGAGTCTCGTCCTCCAGGGACGGGGCTGACTGATGACCCTTGGCCAAATACGGACTCTGTCAGCTTGGGATCCTCAAGTGTTAAGGCTCGAGGAATGTCGAATCCCTCGCACGCCCATTTCAACTGATCTCTAAGAACCTTTGAACGCAGACGCCGAAGTACGACAAGCTTTTCTTCGCGATGGCTAGGAGTGGGAGCGGGAGAAGCCATGGAAAAATTCATTCTTTACAAAGTCCAATAATTTTGAAGATGAAAAGTCTGTGAGAAAATCCTCTCAGCCATCAGGATATTTATAAAGCCTCCAAAGAAGCATGCAGAAGAACTCAAGAGGCATAATCTTGAAGCAACCAAGAAATATTTACTTTGAGAATTCGAAACGGATTGCTCGAATTATCAACTACCGCTCCTGCACATTATTCCATGCCAATAAATTAGCAATGAAGCGCCACTCGTTTTGTCCATGACGCTTCTTATGACGGTTGGACAGAAGGCCCTACACCATGTTTTTAGCCACGATCAACTGACTAAGAATCCTCAGCAACCTTGGGCAAGTTTAGTCAGATCGTAAGCTTATATCTATTTTACTCAAACCCGACTAAAGTCGACTCCGAGTGAAAAGGGTCATCTGCTATGGTAATTCGCCATCTAAAGATAAAAATATCGAGAAAGTGTCTTTATATGCCCAAAAGAGCTATGGCCCAAGCCAGCTTAGCGACCCAAAGCCCAGCCAAGAACAAATCTATCGACCCGCCGAGCGACGAGTCATCTTTAACGACGCGAAGTGAGGGATTAGTTAACCCCTCATAATCAAGACGACTCCTCAAGAGTCCGCCCACCTCATAATCGAGATGACTCCTCAAATATTCGGGTCGACCATCTACTCGGCTGTCTCCTTGGCCAGAAGCTCACTCGACTATCTGGTAGACAAATCATAGGGACGACTTGAAAACTAACCCGTCTCTACTAAGGGGATAAGATCCAACTAAGCTCCCTTCAGATATACATCAATCAAAACTACAGTATTGATCGATCCCATCAAGATCTCAACTCTAACAAATCTCATGCATAAACAACTTACTCTGCTCACAAGTCATTTCTCAGATATCACTAAGATATCCTCCCCTATGCTCGAATGACTTCCATTCCAGTCGCCAGCTGACATCTGCAAAGTGGAGGATGACTCAGTAGCCTGTCTACTCACCCCACCACCGCCCTCCTATGCATAGTCAAAGTCAAGGGTTAGAATCTCAGGGGCGAAGGACTATAAAAGGGAGGAAGGAGGGTAAGGTAAGGGCGGCTCCTTTTTAATCTTGACTCTACTAAGAGGCTGGACCTTCATTAAACTTTGGGGATCATTTCTCCCTCTTGATCTATTTCTTTTTACTAATAACTCTAAAAGAGTACCCCTTACAAGGACCTCATTGGTCCCGAGACTCTCTCTCAAACTCCACTCAAGCTCACCAGCTGACTTGACCGTCGGAGGTACCACAGGGGAAACAAGCCCCGCCCTCTTACGGGTTCGTTCCTCTCGTTTATGCAGAAGAATCAGGAATTCTAGTCCAAGGATCGGGCATAAAGTCGGAGGAGGAGTCGACCCCATCTCTCATCCTCTCACTCTTTGTCATCAGCGGATAGTTCTCATTGACTGTGTGATCTCGGACATCAACAACTCCCAAATAAGTATACACTCAATTACTCAATAACAGTATCAATCTTCAGGGTTGGGTTTAAGTTCTCAGTTGTAGTCCCAAATAAGTATACCAAAATTGTTTCTATTTTCTTAAACCCAACCTGATCTCTTGCCGACCTATTTCCAACCAGCAAAACCGGTAATCTATACATTTTTTTACTAGTGAACAAATGCTACGTCATTGATAAATAACACACATCATAATACTTTGTCTCCAATATGTCTGTTTACTAATTTCGTTCATGACTAAATAAAAAAGATAAGGATTTAAGGATGATCCTTGATGTGAACCGATGGTATTGTACTTAACAAACAACATAGAAGAAAGCCCGCCGTAAGACGTAGAAGTTAGGACATCAAGCTCTAGGGAAAAACTCGAAGATGCCAACAGCGCCAAGTGCAGCACGAGGTGATGTGATCTTCAGCCTCTATTCCATCCGTGTCTGAGGAACACATTTTGACATCCATATGAACACAATAAGCCAAGCGTTGCTCCTAATTTTGCCATCGGTAGTATTCAACAACATCACATAATGGGTTACAGAGTATTTTGAGTTGGAGACCTTCATTCCAAATGCTGAAACTCATGACAAGCTTAACATTGTCTGCATCCAGCCAGTTTGCATAATAAATATGGTATCAACCACCTAAATTAAGAGCACTAAACTGTGCATCAATCAACAAAGAGTTAAAACCACGTAGGAAGCTTGCAACTTGACCGAAAAAGTTGATCACTGTACTGGTCAGACCCGATATGAATCAAAATTAGGCGAACAATAGAATTTACTAATTAAAGGAGAAAAAAGAATCTCACACTAACATGACATAAGCATGTGCATAGGCCCTCTACGGTCTGCATTCAAAAAGATTTAAGCAAGGAAAATTTATCAAAAAGAAAACGAAACCTTCACCAAACCAACTCAACCAGAAATTTCCACCAAATCAACCCAACCACAGATTCGCGATCGAGCTATGACGTGGAGCCATAGCATAAACTTAAATACACCACCACAAAACTCACCAATTAGATAATATCACCACTTATTTTATAATAGCGTATAGATCAATCAGGGTCAATGTCCATATTTTGGTAACAGTACCAATCAAATTTCAATTAGGTACTAACCCAGCGCCTCTCCCTAATTAACCTCCCCCTTCCTCCCCAGTCATCACCTCAATAGCTCCCATCCTCACCATCGCTTTCGCGAACTTAGCCGCCCTCCGCATCCTTGGCATTCCTCCGCCACCACCACAGAGTCTGGTCTGACCCCAGAACTCCCCTCTTCTTCACCAAATTCAAATAATACTTATTGTCCAACTTGGCGGGCGACTGAACATCAAGATCAACAGTAGGATCACTGGCATTCTCGGCCCTCGGACACTGGCCCTTCAACTGTCCAGAAAATGCGGGACCCATATTCAACGGGTCGGTGGAGTTACACGGTAGCGACAATTTCTTCCTCAACGCTCGCCACCTCCTTTTTCATCACAATTAAGTAAGATTCTAAAATTTCTTATTCCTTTTTTTTTTGGCGATATATGTCTGTGTTATTGATAGGATTGAAAAATTAAGAAGGCGCAAGATGGGAGAAGGCTCAGAAACAATAACGAGGATGAGGACCCCGAGAACTAATGACAGCGTTCTCAGCAACTGGAAGATGGTGAAGGAGGAGTTCACTTTCCCTGCTGGCTCTGTCCCTCTTAATAGCTGTCACGCTTCGACCATCGTCGAGGTGAGGAGTAAAGTCGAGTATAAGTGACTGTAATTAATTCTCACAATGTAGATTGTTGATAATGGTGTTTTTACTTTTTTTTAACTGTTTGCGCTAGGTCAACAAAGATAAATTCTGGAGAGAGAGCAGCTACCTCCGGGGATTCTTGGCCCCATCAAGAACAAGGTATGTGGACTGATGATTCATTTCAGAGAAGAAGCTAGAGGTTTTAATCGTAGGATTTTGTGTCATGTAGCCTTTGTTGCTCGATGAAGGTCGATTGCTTTGTGGATCTTTGGGATGGTCACCCTTTCTGGAGCTGACTCCATTGGGGTCGCCAACTGCTCGTTGCTACCGGGTAACTCCACCGAGAGAGTAGTGCTCAAAAAGTTTCGACCCAAAGTCGATTGGGTCATACCTGATGCCGGCATGGTAATGTCATATGCTGCAGAATCTCTCAACATAAGTTTTGATGGACTCTCCTTCCTCTGCTTCGGTGGTAGGAGATTCGGCGACGAGACTTCTGTATTATCTTCAAAGAACCTGCCAAAAAAAGCTTTCTAGATCTACCCATTTTGAATTAGATCCAGCAGGCCAGCTTCATGAACCATCGAAGCAACACCCTTAAGGGTGCCAATAAAAAAACGGCTCAGAATGGGATCGGTTTGCTACCGACATCTCCTGCCTGAGACTTGAAATAGAAGATGTTGTTGTGTTTGGTGATCCTGTGCAATCGAAGAGCCTGCAAGGTTGGGGTTAAATTTTGACGGATAAGGAGATGTGTCTCATTCAGCAAAGATAAAGAGTACCACTCTTCCTCCTCGGAAGTTCGCTCCTGTTAGCGATTGCTGAGGTGAGCCTCTAGTTCTCGATCTTAGATGACTGAGGATTCAGTTCTCTTTCCATCTCCTTCTCGTTTTCAGAGAGGATTCTATGTTCTGAGCCTCACGATCTGAAACTCAGGGCTTTTTTTCGCCTTGAAATTATTCCGAGAAGACATCATGCTTTGCCTTTTTCTGCAAAGAACTGGCCAACATGTCTCTATGAAGAAGTGTCTCTTGCCTGCCGCTTAGAACATAACATGATATTCATCGACTCTTTTCTAAGTCGTCAAGACCTCCAGTCATGTACACGGAGCCTCTGTACCATGACAGAGCTTGAGGATTGAGATTCAACAATTGCTGAATGTTCATCATCGGAAGTCATCCCTTGGCTAACTTGTGATAGTTAACTGAGGGCGATAGCTCCTGTTCGGGTTCGGGCGTGGCGATATATCCCTTTAAACTCGTCACAAATTTCCTGGACAGTCGAAGATGACTTCTTTCTGATTCATCCGAACTATAGCTGAGGTCTTTCTCTCTCCTATCATGTTAATAGGACTTCGAGTAATTCGGCTTTAGAAATATTCTTCTTATGATGATGTTGTCGCTTGGCAGTCCTGGCGACATTTGTCAATCTGCGAACACAGTATTGTCGAGGTTCAGGTGCCATAGCAGTGACATTCTAAGTGGACTGGCAAATAAGCCGCTCATATTGGCATGAATGAGCTGTTTGTCGCCGGTTTCCCTCTAGAGAGTAATACCCGGAAATCAGAAACTTGGGAGGAATCCTTCACCAAGCATAAGGACCGGGATGGAACCCCTCTGCCCTTGAGTAGGTGAGACAGGTTCTTGTCGCGACATAAATTTTAAACCCATGTTGACCCCCTTGAACTTGGTGACCACATCGCATTCTGGAGAAGAACGCGAGGGTCCGCGTTGTGATTTACAAACCCTAGGCCAAAATCTGCGTTTGGTTAATGAACATACCCTTGAGGTCCTGTTTTAGGTGAACCATGTGTCAATGAGGCTCGTGTTTAAGTTATATCACACGAGGCTCATAATGGGATCGTTACCAAGAAGTATACGTTTCAGGTGGAGGTTCAAGAATGCGTTCCTTACGTTGGTTTAGATTCCGACTATCTCATAGACGAGCCTCGTCATATGGATCTTCTCCTTCTTCGAGATGCATTCTTCTTGGCTTGTTTCAACACCTTGCAGCAATGTCGTTGGCGTGACTGGACCTACCTCCATCATGGCCTTTCATAGACTCATCGTGTTGGCGGTCGGGTGTCGAATCTTTAACCTCGTTGAACGAGTTCGCCGAGGTAGTCTCGTCCTCCAGGGACGGGGCTGACTGATGACCCTTGGCCAAATACGGACTCTGTCAGCTTGGGATCCTCAAGTGTTAAGGCTCGAGGATGTCGAATCCCTCGCACGACCATTTCAACTGATCTCTAAGAACCTTTGAACGCAGACGCCGAAGTACGACAAGCTTCTTCGCGATGGCTAGGAGTGGGAGCGGGAGAAGCCATGGGAAAAATTCATTCTTTACAAAGTCCATAATTTGAAGATGAAAAGTCTGTGAGAAAATCCTCTCAGCCATCAGGATATTTATAAAGCCTCCAAAGAAGCATGCAGAAGAACTCAAGAGGCATAATCTTGAAGCAACAAGAATATTTACTTGAGAATTCGAAACGGATTGCTCGAATTAACACCGCTCCTGCACTATTATTCCATCCAATAAATTAGCAATGAAGCGCACTCGTTTTGTCCATGACGCTTCTTAATGACGGTTGGACAGAAGGCCCTACACCATGTTTTTAGCCACGATCAACTGACTAAGAATCCTCAGCAACCTTGGGCAAGTTTAGTCAGATCGTAAGCTTATATCTATTTTACTCAAACCCGACTAAAGTCGACTCCGAGTGAAAAGGTCATCTGCTATGGGTAATTCGCCATCTAAAGATAAAATATCGAGAAAGTTCTTTATATGCCCAAAAGAGCTATGGCCCAAGCCACTTAGCGACCCAAAGCCCAGCCAAGAACAAAATCTATCGACCGCCGCAGACGACGAGTCATCTTTAACGACGAAAGTGAGGGATTAGTTAACCCCTCATAATGCAAGACGACTCCTCAAGAGTCCGCCCACCTCATATCGAGAATGACTCCTCAAATATTCGGTCGACCATCTACTCGGCTGTCTCCTGGCCAGAGCTCACTCGACTATCTGGTAGACAAATCTATAGGGACGACTTGAAAACTAACCCGTCTCTACTAAGGGATAAGATCCAACTAAGCTCCTTCAGATATACATCAATCAAAACTACAGTATTGATCGATCCCATCAAGATCTCAACTCTAACAAATCTCATGCTAAACAACTTACTCTGCTCACAAGTCATTTCTCAGATATCACTAAGATATCCTCCCTATGCTCGAATGACTTCCATTCCAGTCGCCAGCTGACATCTGCAAAGTGGAGGATGACTCAGTAGCCTGTCTACTCACCCACCACCGCCCTCCTATGCATAGTCAAAGTCAAGGGTTAGAATCTCAGGGGCCGAAGGACTATAAAAGGAGGAAGGAGGTTAAGGTAGGGCGGCTCCTTTTAATCTTGACTCTACTAAGAGCCTGGACCTTCATTAAACTTTGGGATCATTTCTCCCTCTTGATCTATTTCTTTTTACTAATAACTCTAAAAGAGTACCCCTTACAAGGACCTCATTGCCCGAGACTCTCTCTCCAAACTCCACTCAAGCTCACCAGCCTGACTTGACGTCGGAGTACCACAGGGGAAACAAGCCCCGCCTCTTACGCGGTTCGTTCCTCTTCGTTTATGCAGAAGAATCAGGAATTCTAGTCAAGGAATCGGGCATAAAGTCCGAGGAGAGTCGACCCCATCTCTCATCCTCTCACTCTTTGTCATCAGCGGATAGTTCTCATGATTGACTGTGTGATTCGGACATCAAACAACTCCCAAATAAAATATACACTCAAGTTACTCAATAACAGTATCAATCTTCAGGTTGGGTTTAAGTTCTCAGTTTAGTCCCAAATAAGTATACCAAAATTGTTTCTATTTTCTTAAACCCAACCTGATCTCTTGCGACCTATTTCCAACCCAGCAAAACCGGTAATCTATACATTTTTTACTATGAACAAATGCTACTCATTGATAAATAACACACATCATAATACTTTGTCTCCAATATGTCTGTTTACTAATTTCGTTCATGACTAAATAAAAAGATAAGGATTTAAGGATGATCCTTGATGTGAACGATGGTATTGTACTTAACAAACAAATAAGAAAAGCCGCCGTAAGACGTAGAAGTTAGGACATCAAGCTCTAGGAAAAACTCGAAGTGCCAACGAGCGCCAAGTTGCCAGCACGCGAGTGATGTGATCTTCAGCCTCTATTCCATCCGTGATCTGAGGAACAACATTTGACATCCTATGAACACAATAGCCAAGCTTGCTCTAATTTTGCCATCGTAGTATTCAACAACATCACATAATGGTTACAGAGTATTTGAGTTGGAGACCTTCAATTCCAAATGCTGAAACTCATGACAAGCTTAACATTGTCTGCATCCAGCAGTTTGCATAATAAATATGTATCAACCACCTAAATTAAGAGCACTAAACTGTGCATCAATCAACAAAGAGTTAAAAACCACGTAGGAAGCTTGCAACTTGGACCGAAAAAGTTGATCACTGTACTGGTCAGACCCGATATGAATCAAAATTAGGCGAACAATAGAATTTACTAATTAAGGAGAAAAAAGAATCTCACACTAACATGACATAAGCATGTGCATAGGCCCTCTACGGTCTGCATTCAAAAGATTTAAGCAAGGAAAAATTTATCAAAAGAAAACGAAACCTTCACCAAACCAACTCAACCAGAAATTTCACCAAATCAACCCAACCACGATTCGCGACGAGCTATGACGTGGAGCCATAGCATAAACTTAAATACACCACCACAAACTCACCAATTAGATAATACACCACTTATTTTATAATAGCTATATAGATCAATCAGGGTCAATGTCCATATTTTGGTAACAGTACCAATCAAATTTCAATAGTACTAACCAGCGCTCTCCCTAATTAACCTCCCCCTCCTCCCAGTCATCACCTCAATAGCTCCCATCCTCACCATCGCTTTCGCGAACTTAGCCGCCCTCCGCCATCCCTGCTTCCTCACGCCACCACCAAGAGTCTGGTCTGACCCAGAACTCCCTCTTCTTCACAAATCAATAATAAAAACTTATTTGTCCAACTTGGCGGCGACTGAACATCAAGATCAACAGTAGGATCACTGGCATTCTCGGCCCTCGGACACTGGCCCTTCAACTGTCGAGAAATGCGGACCCATATTCAACGGTTCGGTCGTGGAGTTACCCGTAGCAACGAGCAGTTGGCGACCCCAATGAGTCAGCTCCAGAAAGGGTGACCATCCCAAAAGATCCACAAAGCAATCGACCTTCATCGAGCAACAAAGGGCTACATGACACAAAATCCTTACGATTAAAACCTCTAGCTTCTTCTCTGAATATGAATCATCAGTCCACATACCTTGGTTCTTGATGGGGCAAGAATCCGCCGAGGTAGCTGCTCTCTCTCCAGAATCTTATCTTTGTTGACCTAGCGCAAACAGTTAAAAAAAAGTAAAAACACCATTATCAACAATCTACATTGTGAGAATTAATTACAGTCACTTATACTCGACTTTACTCTCACCTCGACGATGGTCGAAGCGTGACAGCTATTAAGAGGGACAGAGCCAGCAGGGAAAGGTGAACTCTCCTTCACCATCTTCCAGTTGCCTGAGAAGCGCTGTCATTAGTTCTCGGGGTCCTATCCTCGTTATTGTTTCTGAGCCTTCTCCCATCTTGCGCCTTCTAATTTTTCAATCCTATCAATAAACAGACATACTATGCGCCAAAAAAAAGAAGGGAATAAGAATTTTAGAATCTTACTTCAATTGTGATGAAAAAGGAGGTGGCGACGTTGAGGAAGAAATTGTCGCTACCGTGTAACTCCACCGACCCGTTGAATATGGGTCCCGCATTTTCTGGACAGTTGAAGGGCCAGTGTCCGAGCGCGCGAGAAATGCCAGTGATCCTACTGTTGATCTTGTGATGCTCAGACGCGTCAAGTTGGACAATAAGTATATTTGAATTTGGTGAAGAAGAGGGAGTTCTGGGGTCAGACCAGACTCTGTCGGTGGTGCGGAGAAATGCCAAGGATGCGGAGGCGCTAAGTTCGCGAAAGCGATTGTGAGGATGGAGCTATTGAGGTGATGACTAGGGAGGAAGGGGGGGGGGGGGGGGTTAATTAGGGAGAGGTGCTGTTAGTAACTAATTGAAATTTGATTGGTACTGTTACAAATAAATGGAGCATTGATCCTGATTTATACGCTATTATAAAATAAGTGGTGCTATTATCTAATTGATGAGTTTTGTGGTGGTGTATTTAAGTTTATGCTATGGCTCCACGTCATAGCTCGATCGCGAATCTGTGGTTGGGTTGATTTGGTGAAAATTTCTGGTTGAGTTGGTTTGGTGAAGGTTTCGTTTTCTTTTTGATAAATTTTCCTTGCTTAAATCTTTTTCATAAATGAATTCGAGTTTGGCTTTCGCTTCATTGATCACCTCGAAGCCCTGTAGATGATTGTTCACCACCGACTCCTTTTCGGCTGGGACGCCAGGGAGAGAGTCGAGAAGAACGGAAGCATCGCAACCCTGATAGTAATACTAGTAACTGTTAGTGAGGCCGCTGGTCGTATATATATATAAATTATTACAAAGCGTACGTAATCATATATTGTACTCACGCGGACGAAACAACCGTGAAAGTGCATTCGAAGAAGGTCGGCCGCAGTGCCGGCGTCCGCGACCACGGTTTCCTTGATGACGTCGGCGACAATCTTCTCTGCTTCTGGGCAAGTGTAACTGTAGAAGCCCACTTTAGGCAGGGTAGAACCAGAAGCTACTGATGACAGCATCAATGTCAACATAATTAACTTCGCCACTAATAACACGAAAGGAAATTAAAGCGCATTGAACAACTCATGATTCTCTATTCAATCGGCTCTGTAACTTGGATGCACTTGATGGATGACTTCAGTAAGTGTATGCATTTATAAGACAAATATCTGAGAAATCAAGAGCTAGCCATAATGTCTCTTCTATGTTTAGCAAGGAAAGGAAAGCAAAGCATGTTCCACATGAAGATGTGTACTTAATTGTTTTCTTTAAATTCCTCCTATACATTTAGCATATTGAAAAGAAATGTGACCAGGATATATTTCCACATGCATGCGTCCATTTAAATAGTAACTGGTATGAATATATTTTTGGATCAAGTTGCAGATAGTCAGTTGGCTAATTTACTTAATTTGTAAAAAGTGTTGATAGCCAGTTGTCTAATTTACTTAGTTTGTAAAAGGTGTAGTTGGTGATCACCTTTGTAAGGGCTAAACTTGTGCTGTTGCGCAGGCGCTTGGACCACTTGCTTGCTCAGTGAATCCCCCCTTTAATGAAACATTAGCCAATACGAGACCACAAACCACATGGTTGGAAGTAAATAGTTGGTAGAGTTGCCAAATTTACATTGTTGAGTGTGTAGTGGTGACATTCGCCAGGGCTAAAATTGTGCAGCTGGCTTGCACCCTTGCATAGTGCACGAAAATCAACATGATTGTGACCTAGCTAGCTTCAAGAATTTTGCTAGCTTTTTTACTTGACTACACAAAAACTAGTATATATCACAAAGTATTCGTCCGTTGAAAGTAGTGACTTCTGTTGTATGTTTCATTCATCAATTAAAGTAGGTTACTCAATTACATGGAAATAAAGTAGTGACTTCTGTTGTATGTTTCATTCATCAATTAAAGTAGGTTACTCAATTACATGGAAATTAAACAGAGTTAAATATTAGAGTCATTGTCTCACAAGTTGATTTTAATTTGCTTATTACAAGGGACATTTAAGTTCTGTAACCTGAACTTGTCTTTGTTATGAAAGTTTTCAAAACACAATAAGAAGATACCAATAATCTTACTTTTTTTTTATTGTTTGTTTGCTCTAGGATGCATGGAAGTAACTTGGGTTGTCTGAATGACATGAAATTAACCGGTTCGCAATAATTAACCTAACATGTCAAAGCAGTTCATAACAATGAACCTATGCATCAAAGGTTTTTATTGGTTAGGGAAAAAATAAATACAAAGGGAAGAAAAAAAAAAGGATCTTCATATGTTTCATTCATGCATCAACATGTAGCTCACTCAATAACAAGGATATAAGTCCCATATATATATATATGTATGTATGTGCATGTATGTGGGTGTGTATTAACTGATATTAAACAGAGTTTCAAGTCATGAGAAGTATTTCAGTTTTAATGTGAGGAATTAATATTTAAGTTTCTTTAAAGGGAAAAATGCTTCCAGCCCCCAACAACCAAGTGAACGTGCTTCCCACCCCCAAGACTTGGTCAATGGGTGTTTTACCCCTAAAAATAAAGATTTTGTTCTCTGAGCCCCCAAAACACAAAACCCAAGACATTAAAACATGTGAAGACCATAATACCCTTCTCTCTCTCTTTCTTTTTTTATTAAAAAATGATGAGGATTATTTTATTATTTCTCTCTCTCTCTCTCTCTCTCTTTATCATGATGTACCAAGAGGATAGTTGAAATGATTGATGAGGATTATTTTATTATTTTTGTTTTTTATTATTTTGGTTGTTTGTATTGGGAGGTTGTTAAAGTTACGGGTTGATTGTTAAGGTTACGGGTTGGTTGTTAAGGTTAAGGGTTTGTTGTTAAGGTTATGTATCCTCTCTCTCTCTCTCTCTCTCTCTCTTTTTATTAAAATATGATGGGGATTATTTTATTATTATTTTTTCTCTCTCTCTTCATCATGATGTACCAAGAGGATAGTTGAAATGATTGATGAGGATTATTTTATTATTTTCGTTTTTTTTTATTTTGGTTGTTTGTATTGGGAGGTTGTTAAAGTTATGGGTTGATTGTTAAGGTTACGGGTTGGTTGTTAAGGTTAAGGGTTTGTTGTTAAGGTTATGAATCCTCTCTCTCTCTCTCTTTCTTTTTTTATTAAAATATGATGGGGATTATTTTATTATTTTTGTTTTTTCTCTCTCTCTTTATCATGATGTACCAAGAGGATAGTTGAAATGATTGATGAGGATTATTTTATTATTTTTGTTTTTTATTATTTTGGTTGTTTGTATTGGGAGGTTGTTAAAGTTATGGGTTGATTGTTAAGGTTACGGGTTGGTTGTTAAGGTTAAGGGTTTGTTGTTAAGGTTATGAATCCTCTCTCTCTCTCTCTCTCTCTCTCTCTATCATGATGTTTCTTTGATGATATGAAATGATTAAAAAGGATTATTATTTTATTATTTTTGTTTTTTATTCTTTTTGTATTTTTAGAATATTCGTTGTTAAGGATAATGGTTGGTTGTAAATGTTATGCATTGATTGTTAAGGTTACGTGTTGGTTGTTAAGGTTAAGCGTTTGTTGTTAAGGTTATGGGTTTATTGTGTAGGTTACGGATTTGTTGTTAAGGTTACGGGTTTAATTGTTAAGGTTACGGGTTTAATTGTTAAGGTTACGGGTTTAATTGTTAGGGTTACCTATCTAAAGATCCTCTTGGTACATCATGATAAAGAGAGAGAGAAAACAAAAATAATAAAATAATCCCCATCATATTTTAATAAAAAAAAGAAAGAGAGAGAGATGATTCATAACCTTAACAACAAACCCTTAACCTTAACAACCAACCCGTAACCTTAACAATCAACCCGTAACTTTAACAACCTCCCAATACAAACAACCAAAATAATAAAAAACGAAAATAATAAAATAATCCTCATCAATCATTTCAACTATCCTCTTGGTACATCATGATAAAGAGAGAGAGAAAAAAATAATAAAATAATCCTCATCATATTTTAATAAAAAAAAGAGAGAGAGAGAAGGGTATTATGGTCTTCACATGTTTTAATGTCTTGGGTTTTGTGTTTTGGGGGCTCAGAGAACAGATTCTTTATTTTTAGGGGTAAAACGCCCATTGACCAAGTCCTGGGGGTGGGAAGCATGTTCACTTGGCTTTTGGGGGCTGGAAGCATTTTTCCCTTCTTTAAAATGATCAACACATTCAGAATCTGGCAACTGAAAATGACGATGTAAAAATGATTCATTTTTGAAACACACAACATCATAAAGTTATCAAACATCTTGCTTTCTTTAGGGTTATTTACATATTTACACCTGTCCCAAGTTTTACCCTCTTTTAACTTTGATGCCGTGAAGTTCTGTTATGAAAATTTGATACAAAAGTGCAAAAGAAAAAGAGTGATGTGAATTTTGTTCAAGAATCTCAACATAAAAAAGTGAATGAGAGACAATTTTTCTGATTGCAACTGTAAACAATAATTGGGATAATATTCGTATGATAAATTTATACATCGTTAATCAATTAGAACTTAAATTAAGATTAATTTAAGGTGTTATTCAAATAGAAATGGTAAAAAAGTAGAACAATAAATTGTAAAAATTTATCCCACTTTCATCCATCATATATAAAATTAGTTCTAGTATTTGAGATTATCCCACTTTTCAGGGCAGAGCTAAATGAGAAAAATTTTGTTCTCTCGTATGTTACAAAGATTTTTTTTAATAGTTTCTTTTGACAGGAAAAATAATGCAAGGAGCCCTATTCATAATACATATTATAAAAGAAATCTTAGTGATTTTAGAATGATGTTTGGAATATTATGATGCTTATTTAATTGTTAATGAGACACATGTTCTTATTTACATTTTTTAATGAGACATGTTTAAGTTATTATAGAGACCACTAATAGTTACTTTGAATCTAGCTCGATCACACAAAATGCATATAGTAAAACAACAAATACGATCAATGATCTAATTTGAGAAAGCTTTTGTGGTTGCATCAAAACATGATTTCTTTATTTTCTTTACTTAAAAATACACTTAAGTACATCCACATATGTAGAGTTAAGACTTGAACTTATTTTTATCTTATGTTTCTTGCAAATAAAAATAGATAATTAAGGACTTTCATCATTTAAGGTCAACTTATCCCAC